ATGAAATATGATAACAGAGTGTACGCTGTGAATAAAAAATAAGATTTATTTGTCTTGATATGAGATGTTTTAATGCTATATTTGTCACCTATATACAATATTTTCTGATTAAATACCTCTCTTTATAAAACAAAAGAGCATAAACACACATGATTATTAATACAAGAATGTAGAAAATTTATTCATATGCATTCCCATCTTGAAAGAGATTTGATAAAGAAATCATGAAGAAAAAGCGAATGACCTGTTTATACGGAACGTAATTTCCTACTAAATATTAAACAGCATTCATAATAAAGGCAATGCTGTCCCCACTCAATTCAATAAAGGACCCCGAACAAGAGCGGCCAGCTTTTGTGCGCGATTGGATTTAACATAACTCGTTGACAGAACGATCATTTTAAATACATATAAACTCGCCGGGTGAAACACAATCGATAGGGTTTGTCTTTATTTAATCAAAACACATTTTACATATTTCTGGAAAACCTAAAAATAATAGATAGTGTATTCGTGCGTTTAATAATATTTATAGCCAACAGCTTGTATAAATTAAGGGACTACGCAATGGAACAAAACATTTAACGGGACATATTAACTTGACCCTAGGGGATCTGTAATTTAATCATAGAATCAATTGTCTACTATCGTCCAATAAACGAATCATTATTAATTTTCTACCCAATAGTATAGTTAGTTATGATAAATCTTTATGTATAAAAGAATAAATAAATAGTAACCAAAAAAACATCTCATGAATGTTAGGGAAGTGGATAGGGATTCGAAGAAGTTGATTTTAGAACGGAGGACATTTACGTCGATGCGTTGCGTCGCTTCGGCTAAACGCGTGAGCAACAAATTGAGCTTTTATTTATTCATGCGAGGGGAGGTTGATATGGGTCGGGGTCGGCCGATAAAGGCCACTGTTGGTCCGCCGCCCGTCAAACGATTCACAGGGCCTTGTTTATTATTCCTTGCCAAAGTATCAATTGACTGAATGCTTAGTTGAATACGGACTTGTATAATTCTGTGCTGTGACATTTCAAGTCACACTTATTGATTTGTGGTACAAGGCCATATGTAAATTGGTTTGTGTAATATGGAACACACGTTCGTTCCATATCGTATTGTTTATTCTTTTGTGAATTTAAACGCGTTTTATTATGCTAAACTAGATTGTGAGATGTTCATACATTGTTCTTAACAATGAGGAAAAATGTATTCTTTTACTATTTGTAATCATAACTAAATTCTCCCATTTTCAATTTATAAATTACTAATAGAAAAAAAATATTATATCTTGAACTTGTTATTCAAAACGATGTCAAAGCAGAAAAGAAAAAGTATAAGAATTATATTTTAACGATCGTGAAAAAACTGGTGATCATAAAGAGAAATTTCATACAATGTAGACTCTTTGAGGATTTATAACCTTTGTTGTATTTGCTTTTTTTGTAACTTTGACATCGCGACAAGCTTTGCAAGGTACATACGGAGGTATCATTAATGTTGGTTACGTATTTAATTTAAGTAGAGCAATTTAAAATGTACTTCAAATATCATCTTTATTGCTTCCTCAAACTGATGTACAATTTATCCTTGTTGTACTCAGGATGACTTCGCAACTTAAAGGGGATTTGTTCACTTAACTTAAATGTATTCAAAGGAGGGTTCTTTTGAACCATGTCCCATGCATCTCTTGATTTTACTACCTCAGGATGTCGTAAAATTTTCAAACGATCGAATATTAAAATAATTTTTATGTAATATTTGATGCGCCTCTATGTACGAATTTACGTAACATTAATATAGTGTCGAATAATAATGATGTAGTAGATTTAAAATTATAGTGACGTCAACAGATGAAATAAATTATCAAATTTGCTAATGTATGATTTAATATCTATAAAAAAATAATAGATTACAAGTAAGCAAAATTTTAATTATTCGTAAATCGATAAAACAATATTCCAATTGGTTTACGGTGTTGGGAGATCTAGAAAACAATCATCATGTCGGCCGGTCTGCGCTGGCGAGGCGCCAAACTATTCCGTGTATTACAATGGCCGGCCGCGATCACAGGAAGCGAGATCGATCACCGAACGCCCAGTATTACCTGTCGCTAAACACACCCTTTATTTATACACACGTTGCGAATTCGTGCGCCATCGTACATGGAACACATCATTAATGTGAGTACTGACACCTTTGTGATCGTTTACAATGTTCGCGAATCGCTTTGATGATTGAATTGAGAATTTTATGTGACGATTTACATTTAAATTGGTGCTTTAGAATTTTTATATAAATTTTGTCGTGATGTTATGTATTTGACATTAGTTTATGTTAATTCTGTTATGATACGATTTGATATTATCTAGATTTTCATGTTCAAAGCAACTTGCTCATAGATCAATTACAAATCAAAAAAAGATTTTTTAGATTCTTCATTGAATATTGCTTACGTTATACATTCATAGTTTTGTTTCGATTAATTAATAATGCGATGAAAATTTTCAACGATATGAAAGGTTTTGCGATATCTTTAAGGATAAAGCCGCAGTTTATTAGTCAATGCGACAAGCGCGTAAGGGTGAGCACAGCTTATACCAGACCAGACTGACCGATTCTCAAGACATGGCTTCCATGAAATTATCCGACTGACTCACGACTTAACGATCACATTTCCTTATTCGTCATGCGTCGTTTGAGCTTGACGATTTCCGAATCGATTAAAATATTTTTAACAGTACTTAATATTTTACTTATAATTGGTTCAATTATAACGGTGATATTATAGAACAAGCCTAATTACAAACGAGTATTATGTGCCTAATGACTTTTATTCTCTTAACGAGAAGTTCACATTTCTCTTGTATCCGTGTTCTTGTGCTAAGTATACTTAGCTTAAGAGGGTTACTTTTAAAACCTGATATCTTCGTGACTCTTCGTTTGATTGTAATTTGATTAATACTAAGGATCATTTTCTCAAAATAAACTCGAGAGTTAACTTGTGTTTTCGTTTTAAAGCTTCTTTCTGCCTCTTATGTACAATAAAATCAAGATTATATATCGAAGTACTAATAACATTCATTTATACTAATATTATAAAGAGGAAACATTTGTATTTTTGCATGTTTTGAAGTGACTCATGTTATCAGTGAGTAACATGGGCAATATTTTTTTTTTTATTTTACGCGGACAAAGTCGCGATCAACAGCTAGTCTATAATATAATTCCAACTAAGTGTCACAGTCGATGTTAGTTTGATTGCATTTCCACGTATTACAGTGGTCTTTGATTCGCCGCAGTGTCATGTGCGTTGTGGGACACACAACATCTGCTAATACAGATCAAAGCGGCGCCACGACAGGAATAGTTTCCATTTGGCTATTGAACTAATATCTGCAATGCATTCATATATTTGTGTTTGATGACAATACGAGTATTAACATATAATATGTATGTGTTGAAGTCGACTGTTGAGTTACATTCAGGTTTAGACACTGTTGGACTTTAAGTTGAAATATCGTCAGGTTAACTTTGTATTAACAGTAAGTGTTTCTTCTAATAGGTATAGTTATTATTTACTTACTATTTATTTACAATCAATTAAAGATCATACAGCTTTTGCATAATTTTCGCTTAAAGAGGTCGAGTTGGTTTATTTAGTTTATGTTATAGGATGTAAACCATCATATTATGATGGTAAAAGTTTGTGATTGCATTTTATTTAACGTTGTATCTCTAAAGTAAATAGTACATTAATATTACCATGTTGTCAGTGGTGAGTGGTTGAAAGGCAGTATCGGGCTAGTAGTAGGCGTGCAAGGTGCGAAAGGGTTCGCGTGCTAAATAATCGACGTCGCCAGCTGCCGTTGAACAGGCCCCCTCTAAAACTGGCATGTGATTGTAAAAAAGCGCTCTTTTTCGATTTCCTAGTGTTGTACAAACACCCCGTAGCGTAGTGGTCGAAGCCGCAATCCCGTAGGCACGAATAAAAGAGAATAAAAAA